AAAATAAGCACACAAAAAAACTGTGGCCAAAATGGAAATTGAGCAGACATCTAGCTCTGATCCTAGCTATTAATATAACAGATATAGATCACTCTGGATACAAAAGTAATGTATACACAGAAGTGAAAACTATCATATGTTTCTGCTAGAAAGCCACATGCAAACATGTCACTTGGAGTCAAGGGTACTGAGTCACGCTAGATCCAGTTTCCAAATCTGAGTCTTGTTGACGTAACACATTTTGACAAGGCCCAAGCATCCCACTTTAGCTCTCCTGAAACTTGAAAAAAACACCTTTGCGACAAGAGGAACTTTTTAAACCTGGGTCAAATGGAGAGACAAAAATACATGGTGTAATCCAAGTAAGGGACCGTCCATACACCCCTAAGATTTATCTGATTGGTTTTAAAAATTTTGCCCACAGTTAATTAAGTGGCTTTGACTTTTTATTCATACCGTGGATCCTGGCTCTTGAATAAACCTTTGTTTTATGCCAGGGCAAAAGACTTTGTACAGTTCCTGTAAATTATAGACCGATGGTATTCAATGTGATTGTAAAATCCTTTGAACAGTAACGCTAATTGATTTAAACTGTGTTTCATGATTATATATTTATAAAGACTTTATTTAAAAAAAGACAAATTAGAAACCAAATAAAATGTACACACATCCATGACCTGTTCTGAGCTGCAGAATGTTGACTTTCTATTTAAGCAGAAAATATATGTACATCCAATCAACTCATATGTAGTGTCCGTCTCAAACAGTCCAATACCTTTATTACCAAATCCATGTTTTATAGCTATTATTGATCCTTAGGCTAGACTCGCTTGCATATATTTTATACTGCAAAAGACACTATCTCTTTACTTTTTAATTAATATTTAGAATGCAATTGATCAGTGTTTCTACTGTTGCAGTAAATGGTGGTGTGATTACTTTTATGTAGTTCATTGGGGAAAGATTTAAAGGTTTGTTTACTAAAATGAGAATTGTCAGCAATTCAAAGTAAATTTCAAATTTAAAGCCACGGTAGCTGTACTAGAAGCATAGATGACATGAAGAATGTTTTCATTTCAGCTACTTTGGCTGTAAAGGATTACTTAAACCACCATGACCACTTCAGTGATTTGAAGTGGTCATGGTTGTAGAAGTCTGTATTTCAGTGTTTCAGTTTGAAACGCTGCAAATACAGAGATTTATTTAGTTGTGTGCCAGGGGCTAGTTCCACTTAGTATGACTAATATCAGTTATGTGCAAAAAATTACATTTCTAGGCATGCAAAATTAATTGTCATGAACATTACTACTTCCAAGCAGGCACATGACTTGCTGCAGTGGGTGAAAGGGTTAAAAACTATTTGTCTGTCCTCAGGGCCGGACTGGGGATACAAAGCAGCCCTGGAAAAAAAATCTATGCCAGCCCTATAAGTCATTGCGCCATATATTGTCAAATGTAGTATGTAAGGCTATGTCTTTCCACCCGTCGATTCTTTGTTTGCACAGCATCTGCTGAGTAAAAGTAAAGTTTTACTTTACCTTACTTTGAAGTCCTTGGAGTGCTATCTTCTATATGCAGTTTGGATAATCTTGCAGACCAGCACCGGGACCAAAAATCTTTTCAACACTCTGGAGTGCAGGTTTCTGGACTTTTTTGTATAATATATATATATATATATATATATATATGTATAAAAAACATAAATATATACTTCATTTTCTAATATAAAATATTGGTCCTTTCAGAGTAAAACGTTTAATTATACAGTAAGCATACTCACATGCAGACACAGACAATCTCAATGACACACACAAGCTCATTGATACACAGCCTCATAGGCAAACAATCTCACTGATATACATAAGCTCATTGACATAAAAACACAAGCTCACAGATGCACACACATAGGCTCACTGACAGACAATCTAACTGACACACACCTACAAACTAATTGGTATACACACATACGTAGTACAGACATACTCTGACACGCCCCAGGTTTCTACAGACAAGCTCACTGTCACACATTCCCCCACATTTTTAGCGTAGGACCCACCAATATTGGGGTACTTTGAAAGTAGTGGTGGGCTTAACAACATATGGCCATATGGTGGAACTAAATCCCCATATTTATTCTCAGATAGGCATTTTAGTAGCCTTCTTTGTATTATATATTGTTTTGTAGTCTGAGTGCGCTGCAACTATTTATTGTTTTATGTATGAAGTTTGGTCACTGCGGCAGCACCTTTCATACAAAATGCAGGTCTTGGGAGTGCCCCCTATCCTTTTTCTGTATACACACACACACACACACGATCACTACAGAAAAGCTCACTGATACACACATGCTTCCTACAGACAAGCTCACTGACACACACAAGATCACTACAGACAAGCTCACTGTCATACAAATGCTCACTACAGACAAGTTCACTGACACACACATGCTCCATACAGAAAAGCTCACTGAGACACACATGGGCCCTACAGAAAAGCTTGTAATCAACATGGTCTAGATATTCTGTGGCCACCCTTTACTTTGTCCTGCGAATGAGTCATTGGCACAATGCCACACCTACAATGGAACAGATATGATATGCTTCTAAAATCTTGCTTTAGAGGGATTTGGTTTTATATATGCAGTGGAGAACCTCAGGCTTTATCAAACTGTTCCAAAACAATCTGACAAAATTCATGAGCGGCATGCACCAATTAGTAGAGCTATAACCCATGACACACATACACACACAAGCTCACTAACTAGCAGGCACACACAAGCTCACTCACTAGCAAAAAAACACATCCACAAGCCGGCACACACACACAAGCTCACTCACTAGCAGGCACACACACACAGCTTAATGTAGTGGTTCTGGTGTCTATAGCTTGTCCCTGCAGGCTTTTCAATGTAAACACTGACTTTTCAGAGAAAAGGCAGTGTTTACATTACTTCCTAGTGACAGCTCTTGTGGCAGTCACTCAGACGGTCACCAGAGGTGCTTCCTGTGTCAGTGCTGCACAGTGTGTGGCACCTACATTCAGCCTCTGCATGGAGCCGCTGAACTTTCCCTTAGAGATACATTGATTCAATGCATCTCTCTGAGGAGATGCTAATTGGTGTAGCGTTTTGAAGCCAATCCTATGGCAAAACATTGGATTGGCTGAGATCATCAAGCTTGATGATCTCAGCCATAGAGGCAGGGCCAGTCGAGGGGAGACCAGCACGACGTAGGGAAAAAAAAGGTGAATAAAAACACTTTTTCCTTGCTAATGGAAGGGGTCTGGTAACCTAAACACACACACAGACACACACATACACCATGACAGACACACATACACACCATGACAGACAAACACACACCATGACACACACACCGTGACACAAACATAACAGAGACAGACACACACCATAACACAGACAGACACACACACATACACCATGACAGGCAGACAGACCCACACATACACACACCATGACAGACCCATACACTCACACTGACAGACTGACTCACACATTATTGCTACTTGTGGGGTCCAGCGGGCGACTGGCCAGTGGATTGTGCAGGCGGGCGGCTGGCTGCGCGAATAGGGAGCTGTGCTGTCTCTGCTCTGCTCCCCAGCACGCAGCTTAATGAGACCGGGGCCGGAATATGACATCATCTCATTAAGTAGCGTGCAAGGGTGGGGAAGCAGAGCAGAGACAGCACAGGTCACAGCAGCCTAGGCCCACCAGGAAATTTCCCAGAATCCTGGTGGGCCAGTCCGGCCCTGTCTGTCCTACACACTAAAAAGAATGATAAAAAGTCACCCTTAACAGCTTTCACACCTCTACTATCACAAAAGCTTCAACTACCAAGATAATTTATAAATGGGGCATCATAGGTTACCCCACCTAAATTAGATTTAAAAAAAAACATTAATAAAAAACATTAATATGATATGTCTCTTTGGTAATGTGATTCTTATAACAGACAAAGGCAGAATCTAATAAAGGAACATTTATTTTGAAAAATAGTCACAGTACATATATATTTATGTACAGATTTTTCTGATCTCTTTGTAACTAGGTCACATCATCTTGGTGAATTCAGAATCCAAAATGAATTTGATATTGAACCATGATATATATTTCATGCATTGGCCTCAATTTAATATTGTTAGATAAGCTTTACAAATTATTTAATATTTTAGGATCAACTCATAAAATTATTTTTCAACATATTAAAATATAACAAAAAATATATTATATATAAAAAAGTATATCGAAACTCATCCAAATATTACAAAATTATATATGTTTCATAACATGAAATTATTTTAAAAGTTTATCAAAAAATATGATATTATTTGGAAAGCTTATCTAACAATATTAAATTGAGGCCAATACATGAACTATATATCATGGTTCGATATCAAATTCATTTTGGATTCTGAATTCACCAAGATGAGAAACGAGAGAAAAATACATGATCCATAACAATAAAATCTTTTTTTCTTTAATATTTGCTTCCATTTGAGCAGCTGAAAATGACTCCTAAACAAAATGGAAAATGTAAGAAAGCTAATTATGAGGAACTAACCATGTGTTGTAGTAATGGCTGTGTGGTAGTGCGTGAACATTGTACTAATTCATGTTTATGCACCAGAAGCTTCAAATTATCTGCTCTGTAAATACAGAATTGTTGTACACCATCTATTCTTTTTTTAAATTCAATTCTTTATTTATAGAGTTTTAAATTTTTTTCGGTTTACATATAAAGCAATATCAAATACAATTATTAATAAACAAAGGAAATTGGCAATATTGTGAAGCGTGTGACATTAGTTCCATTAATTTTGCCAAGAATATATACAGGACATACAAAACACAGACAGTAACAATATAAGTTGTTAACTTCAGCGTAGCATAGGCGTGCATATCATGTACAAACAACAATCCGTATTACCAATTTTGGTTAGGGAAAGGGAAATAGGGAATCCGTACCCATATGGCTTGTAAACCCTAATCTTGCATATGAAGTTTCCTGGAGATTGGTGCAATGTTCTACAGTGAGCATATACCCTAATGAGTCTGTAGATGGTACATGCTGTCGTTCATGGATTCCGTGTCACGGAAGAGCCATTGGAATGCATCCGTGACCACACTTACATTGCAGGTCACTATCATAGTGGGCTTATGCTATCACTATCAAGACAGGAATCTGTCTAGCAGGTATGTACAGAATCCGTTTAGACGCAAGCCGAGGGGGATAATTGGGTGTAATATAACAAGAAGGCTGTAACACAAGTATTCTTGTGGACAACAGCACTAGGGAAAGGTCGTGAGATAATCAAAAAGGAAGACTGTTGAGATTGAGACAGAGCAGAGGAAAGGAGAATAGAGCAGTGAAAAAAAGGGTGGGAGAGTATAGGTAGGGGAAGGGGTGGGTCCAAGTCCCCAAACCAGCCCAGAGGTCATCTAACCAGGTGGTGTGTACTCCAGAATTCACAGGATCCAGATTTTTTAGAAATGCTTACTGGTGTCATGAACCACTGCTGAAAATCTGTCCATCTCCACTGCGTTCTTGATCCTGTTCTCCACTGCCCTTATGCCCCTATAGTAGGAATGTTAGACACAATCTATTCTTTTAAATACAATGAAACCTGAATTCAAAAATGTCATGCGAGTGATGTATACTATAGCTGATCATAAAATTGCTCACGTGTTTAATACTGAAGTTGTTTTAGAATCAGAATATGCTCTATGCTAAAAGTGATATATTTAGAGTGTTCGATTATATATCCCAACAGAAATGTATACATGTCACAGAAATTATTGAAAGATGAGTAATAAAAAAAAGCACGATCATATTAATGTGAAACCCTCTGGAAATGTCTTATTCATTTAAATGGGAATATCTTAATAATCATTCACATTCCGAAAATAATGAACCTACAGATCAAGATAACAATATCTGTGTTACATCATGTTCTCCCCTTTGTGTCATCACTAGGACATCATACTTTGTAGGTGAGCTGTCTCAATGCATAGTTTTCGTTACAAAGGTCAGATTTGCAAAATCCCATGGTATTCAGGGACAATATATATTACAAAAAGGACAAGTGATATAATCATTTGCTAATAGTTCCCTTTGCACAATTTATTCATTGTTTTATTATAGTGAGGCACTGCATCATGGCTGCACCAAGCCTCCAGCTGTTAAAATTGATCCATGAGACACATGGAGTAATGTGGGAGATGTCAAAGGTTGATCACCATTGATGTACATGATTCTATTTTACATGTATGACTGTTCCGATATAGCAACATATTATGGTAGTGTTTTAACAATTTATATTATGTACATTGAATGCTATTAAAGTTTAAATCTGTCTATGAGTGACATAAATATCGATAGTATAGAATTCACAGGAGAAAGTGATAGAAATTTTAATGAAGTTGAAAACAGCAACACTTGGTCTGTTGGGCATGTTATTCAAATTTCTATTTACTTTTCATCTAAAATGATGTGCCATCAGCTTGTCTAAGACAGTAACAAACGAGTATTATTATACAGGTATTTTAGGACACATTAAAAATGACAGCTGAAAATTCCATTAATTTGGAGTGGATGAGCATATCATACGATAACAGCTGAGTCTCCCTATCCATGTAAAGGTTTTTTTTTTTATATGAGTGCAAAATAATACCTGGCATAAAAACAATGTGTTGGCGTATTGTAAAGAATAAAATCCCATCTATGTATTGTGCTAATATAATTGCTTTAATATTATTTTTAGATATTTTTATATTTAAAGGGGAATTGTTGCACTGTTGAATTAAACCATTGCAAATCACCTATAAGTTGTGCCATCTTCAGGAAAGAAAACCATGTTAGAAATGATGGCCTGGATTTAATAAGTTTTTCAAATTATTCATATCTGTTAGAAAAAAAGATATTTAGGACATGTAATTTTAGCTGCATTTTAATTATCCTAATTTTTATATTCTATTAAAAGAACACTAAAGCGTTAGGAGTACAAAATGTGCATTCCTAACACACTTATGTGCATTCCATGTCCCTAATAACAAGATCCCTCCCCCCTGTTCCCTGATTCGGCAGAAAACATTATAACAAATATTTTTTTACTTACCTTTTTCCAGCGCCGAGGCTCCCACTGCACTGCTCACCTATTCCTATTCCTGGGCCTCCGCTAGAGTTGGTCCAATCCTCCTCATTGAGAATCATTCAGGACCTGATGCACATGCGCGGTGAGTATTGCACATGAGTACAAATTTCCTCATAAGAAAGCACTGAGGCAGTCAAGTGACCGAGTTTTAATTCGTTACTGCAGCAGGATCGCTTCTAGTGGCTGTCACTATGACAACCATTTGAGAAGGATTTAACGCTGCAATATAAACATCTAAAAACTGCCATGTTTTACATTGAAGGGTTTAACCCACAGGATCACTGCACCCAGATAATTTCACTGAAATTATGTGGCCTGGGTGACTTTAGTGGTCCTTTAATAATTATATATGTGATAGTTGCAATGAATGGTATAAACAGAAACATTTATAAATATGTTATTTTAATCATCTTTCTAAATTTAACAGCTAATTTTCCATTTAAACTGGATAGACTACATACAGTATGTCTGAATAAGCCTCACTCACAAAACTAAGGACATATGGAGTCTTTATTTGTGCAATTAACTGGGCTTTCGTGGAGATTACTGATTAGAAGAAACAAAATAATCAGCTGTGATGCTGGAAAAGTTCTAACTCAGAAACAACCTTTATAAAGCAGCATATGTCACCAGCTGTCTGAGTAAGGAAAAAGATCAATTTCGTAGATCAGTTCACAAAGTGGGTAAGTCCTTGAAAGCTATTTAATAGTAGCAGAACATTAGCTACCCACAGACTGTAGTCCCACGTGCGCACAGATGGTCTATGTACACTTCTCAGAACAGCATGGTCAGTTTCACCATGAATGGAACAGATGTATATCACAGGTCCCAAAGCTCAAATATGTCTGAAAAAGAAGAGATGTGCTGTGTCATTTCTGGATAAATGCAGACCATATGGCCACAAATCAAGATGGCACAAGGTTTATTGATCTACTGTTTTATTAGCCTCAAGAAATCTACCCCTTCTATTTGTCATAGCTACGTGGAAAGAATTTTTTACCCTGAGTAGTTTATATTTAAGCCAAATCTAGTATATATTAAGCCAAATCTAGTATATATCTAAGCCAAAACTAGTATATATCAAGACAAATCTAGTATATATCTAAGCCAAATCTAGTATATATCAAGACAAATTTAGTATATATCTAAGCCAAATCTAGTATATATCAAGACAAATCTAGTATATATCAAGACAAAACTAGTATATATCAAGACAAATCTAGTATATATCTAAGCCAAATCTAGTATACGTCAAGACAAATCTAGTATATATCAAGACAAATCTAGTATATATCAAGACAAAACTAGTATATATCAAGACAAATCTAGTATATATCAAGACAAATCTAGTATATATCAAGACAAATCTAGTATATATCAAGACAAATCTAGTATATATCAAGACAAAACTAGTATATATCAAGACAAATCTAGTATATATCTAAGCCAAATCTAGTATACGTCAAGACAAATCTAGTATATATCAAGACAAATCTAGTATATATCAAGACAAAACTAGTATATATCAAGACAAATCTAGTATATATCAAGACAAATCTAGTATATATCAAGACAAAACTAGTATATATCAAGACAAATCTAGTATATATCAAGACAAATCTAGTATATATCAAGACAAAACTAGTATATATCAAGACAAAACTAGTATATATCAAGACAAATCTAGTATATATCAAGACAAAATTAGTATATATCAAGACAAAATTAGTATATATCAAGACAAATCTAGTATATATCTAAGCCAAATCTAGTATACGTCAAGACAAATCTAGTATATATCAAGATAAATCTAGTATATATCAAGACAAATCTAGTATATATCAAGATAAATCTAGTATACATCAAGACAAATCTAGTATGTATCTAAGCCAAATCTAGTATATATCAAGACAAATCTAATATATCCTCCTATTGCTCTCATGAATGTATAAATGCATTTCATCCATAATAAACCCTAGGAAAAAATATTGAGGAAGTCTCGTGAGACTGAAAACTTTTTTTCCCCCACTTTTGACATAATTCCAAAATAAAAGTGCAGACTTATCTATGTCAAATCATGTAAAATATACTCTTGTATGAGTGTGATATGTATGTGTGGAGTTGGTTGGGTGTGATTGTATGTGGATTGCTGGCTGTATGTGATTGGGTGTGAGGTTTATTGAGTGATTGTGAGTTTGTCTAAATGTGATTGTGTTTCTTGGTTGGCTAAATGTGATTGTGTATGGGGTTGGCTGAATGTGATTATGTGTGAAGTTGGCCGACTGTGTGTGTGTGTTTTCTTAACATTAAAAAAAGTGTTTTAGCCCCTGCTTATCTTTCTGCAGCAAGGAAGCGCTCTGACTCACTGATGCACTGAGAATTAGGACTGCGAGGAGCAATAACCATGGAAACCAAGAATGTCTCACAACCTTTAACCCCAGAATAGCCTGTGATTTTATAGGGGGAGAATTATTAAATGGAGATTATAGGCACCTAGAACAGTTCATCTCATTAAAGTGCAGTGTTCCTGCAGTGTCCCCATTCAAGTGCAATATCCCTGTCTTACTTAGTCCTGCAAGGTAAAACACTGCAGTTTTTGAGAAACTGCAATGATTCCTTTGCAGGACTAAAACTGCATCTTGTGGCTGGATTCTAGTGGACTCTGAGTCCCATAAACAATGCTAGGTGTCCTCACACTCTGCCAGAGGACATCCAGTGTCAGTGAAAACCCCAAAGGAAAGCATGGGTAGGGCTGCGCATGCACATTAGGTCCCCCCATTGGATGATGTCAGAGGAAGCAGAGTGCCAACTCAGCTACAAGGGACATCAGTACTGTAATCAGACAAGTAACAAAAAAATCTTTTAACCCTTGATGTGCCAGATTGAGGAGGAGGTCGTGAGGCGGGGGGTGGTGGGGACCAGAGGACACTACAGTGTTAGGAATACAGATTTGTATTCTTAACACTATAGAATCTCATTAAGGAAAAGTTTTCTGAGAAATTACCCGCATTATGTCCTGAGCAATGATGGCAATCCAATGGGCATTGGTGGTACCAGCAGGACTCTGAAGCTTCAGAAATGACAACCCTCCATCTCACCACAGTATAGTTGTCAGCAGTGAAGAACTGAGAGAATATTGGGCCTGCTGCAATGTAATCATTCATTGGTAAGACTGACATTTAGCACTTTTGTGGAGCAGAAGCAGGCAGAGTATTAAGTGGGCTAAATTCCACCTGAGAAGGTGATTTTTAAATTTGTTTTGGCAAGTGCGGGGTGTCACGTATTCATCCGCTTATGAAAATGTGGTTAATGGCATTTACTGTCCACACAGGAAAAGTTGTGCCGAGCCGCAACCAAATCCACAGAAGGGTTAATGCTGAGCAGCAATTATGCAAATGGAAACCTGCTAACTGCCTTTGGGGTCAAAGGCCGGTTACAGCCTATCAGATCTAGAGGAAGGGTATTTAAGCCCAGTTCTCATCCTGCTCAGTGCCCTGTCGTGGTTTCCCTTGTGGTTGTCCGAGAGCGCGTTCCTGATTCAAATTTCTTCTGGTTTTTTACTTTAGCTTTGATTTTGACTTCCCTGTATTCTGTATCTCTGACTTCTGGCTTTCTCTTATCGCGTCTCTTTCTGTATCCCCTGACTATTCTTTGGTACGTTAAGTCCGGCCATTCTAAGGCCCGATAATACGTTACCTATTAGTCATCTGTGTGACACAATTCTACGAGCTGGATCAGCTAGTAATCCTGACACGGGGAGGGAGCATGAACGGGTAATGTTTGATCATAGACTTGATTTTTACAAGGAATTGGACACTCGGTCTCAAACACATTTGTTATCAGGGCCAGCGCATCCATAAGCCAGCATCGATGGCTGCCATAGGGCGCCAGAGCAAGGGGGCACAAAAATCGGAATCCCCTGCCTCTGGCTGGGAACTATGATATTTCCAATAACTACAGCCTACCTCGCTGTCCCTGCAACCAACACACAGGAACTTGGCAGTGTCACCCGGCCTCCTCTGATGATGTCAGGAGGAGGGTGTGGTTTCCACTGCTCCCAGACTTCCCAGCAGACAAGACTTAATCTCCAGTATCCAGCTCTTGATCCTGTCAAGACTGTCCCACTCAAATACCAGGGGTAAGTTTTCCCCACTCCATGAACCATGGTAAGCCTTAGCCATAAACCTACTTCATGCTCTTTGCCTGTCAGACACACACCAACTCAGTGTCATAGACACACACACTGATAGACACACACATTCACTGACAGACACACATACATTAGCTGACAGACACACACACACTCAGTGACACACACACACACTGACAGACATACACATTCACTGGCAGACACACTCTCCGTGACAGACAAACACACTGACATACACACATAGACTGACACTGACAGATATACACATATACTGACAAACACACACACTCTTTGATAGACACACATCCAAACCCACCAACAAACACATATACACTCTCACTGAAAACACACATACACACTCCCTGACAAACACATACTCACTGACAAACACATATACACTCTTACTGACAAACACACATACATACACTCTTTGACAGATATACATACAAACTCACTGACAAACACATATACACTCTCACTGACAAACACACATATACACACTCACTGACAAACACATACACTCTCACTGACAGACAAACATACAAACTCACTGACAGACACACATACAAACTCACTGACAAACACATAAACAAACTCACTGACAAACACACATATACACTCTCACTGACAAACACACATACACTCACACTGACAAACACACATACACACTCACTGACAAACACATATACACTCTCACTGACAAACACACAAACACGATTACTGACAAAACACACATACACACTCACAGACAAACACATATACACTCTTACTGACAGACACACATACAAACTCACTGACAGACACACATACAAGCTCACTGACAAACACATATACACTCTCACTGACAAACACACATACTTACAAACACATATACACTCTTAATGACAAACACATACAAACTCACTGACAGACACACGTACAAACTCAATTACAAACATATACACTCTCACTAACAAACACATACACACACTCACTGACAAACACATATACAAACCCACTGACAAACACATATACACTCTCACTGACCAATACATTTATACTCTCACTGACAAATACAAATACACTCTAACTGACAAACACACATACACACTCACTGACAAACACATACACTCTTACTGACAAACACACATACACACTCCCTAGCAAACACATACATACTCACTGACAAACACACATATACACTCTCACTGACAAATACACATACACTCTCACAGACAAACACACATACACACTCACTGACAAACACATACACTCTTACTGACATACACACATACACACTCCCTAACACATACATACTCACTGACAAACACACATATACACTCTCACTGACAAATACACATACACACTCACTGACAAACACACATACACTCTTACTGACAAAACACACATACACACTCACTGCCAAACACATATACACTCTTACTGAGAGACACACATACAAACTCACTGACAGACACACGTACAAACTCAATTACAAACAAACATATACACTCTCACTGACAAACACATACACACACTCACTGACAAACACACATACACTCTCACTGACAAGCACCCATACAAAATCGCTGACAAACACATATACACTCTCACTGACAAAAACACATACACACTCACTGACAAACACATACAAACCCACTGACAAACACATATACACTCTCACTGACAAACACATTTATACTCTCACTGACAAATACACATACACACTCACTGACAAACACATACACTCTTACTGACAAACACACATACACACTACCTGACAAACACATACATACTCACTGACAAACACACATATACACTCTCACTGACACATACACTTTCACTGACAAACACACATACACACTCACTGACAAACACATACACTCTTACTGACAAACACACATACACACTCCCTAACAAACACATACATACTCACTGACAAACACACATATACACTCTCACTGACAAATACACATACACTCTCACTGACAAATACACATACACTCTCACTGACAAACACACATACACACTCACTGACAAACACACATACACTCTTACTGAGAGACACACATACAAACTCACTGACAGACACACGTACAATTTCAATTACAAACAAACATATACACTCTCACTGACAAACATACACACACTCACTGACAAACACACATACAAACCCACTGACAAACACATATACACTCTCACTGACCAACACATTTATACTCTCACTGACAAATACACATATACTCTTACTGACAAACACACATACCACTACCTGACAAACACATACATACTCACTGACAACCACACATATACACTCTCACTGACAAATACACATACACTCTCACTGACAAACACGCATACACACTCACTGACAAACACATATACACTCTTACTGAGAGACACACATAAAAAACTCACTGACAGACACACATACAAACTCACTGATAAACACACATATACAATCTCACTGACAAACACACATACTCACTCACTGACAAACACACATACACTCTCACTGACAAACACACATACACTCTCACTGACAAGCACACATACAAAATCACTAACAAACACATATACACTTTCACTGACAAAAACACATACACACTCACTGACAAACACATGCAAACTCACTGACAAACACAAATACACTCTCACTGACAAAAACACATATATACTCTCACTGACAAATACACATACACTCTAACTGACAAACACACATACACACTCACTGACAAACACACATACACTCTTACTGACAAACACACATACACTATTTGACAGACACACATGCATACTCACTGAGAAACACACATATACACTCTCACTGACAAACACACATACACACTCACTGACAAACATACATACAGTCTCACTGACAAACACACATACACACTCACTGACAAACACATATACACTCTTACTGAGAGACACACAAACTAACTCACTGACAGACACACGTACAAACTCAATTACAAACAAACATATACACTCTCACTGACAAACACATACACACACTCACTGACAAACACACATACACTCTCACTGACAAACACACATACTCACTCACTGACAAACACGCATACACTCTCACTGACAAGAACATATACAAAATCACTGACAAACACATATACACTCTCACTGACAAACACACATACACACACACTGACAAACATACATACATACAGTCTCACTGATAAACAGACATACACTCACTGACAAACACATATACACTCTTACTGACAAACACATACAATCTTTGACAGAAACACACACAAACTCACTAACAGACACACACACAATTTATAATTTTCTTTAAAATCTCACTCCACCCAGCCTCCCTACCTTTGGGAGTGCTGGCATGGAGTCTCTATTTCCCTGGGGTCCAGTGGGGCTGCTGGGCTTAGCTTCTAGGCGTGCAGTCAATGCAGGTGGCGAGGGAGTTCTGGTCTTTCTGCTCTGCTCCCTAGTGATGCCGTGGCCGGAGAGCGCTCCTTTACAGTCCGCCACCTACATGAGTAGATTACAGACTTGGAGGGGCTCTAAGATGGACAGCCAGCCAACTCCTTTTTTTGCCACCCCCCTGAAAGTGCCACCCAAGGCAAATGCCTTGTCAGTCTCGCTCTAAATACAGCACTGCCCACTACCACCCACTACCAGTTCGCCTCCCGAGATTAGTTTCTGGATCCGCCCCTGCTCTGTATACCTGTGTCTTTATGTCTTTTTATGACTATATGCATGGGCGTCCGCAGGGGGAGGCAAGGGGGGCACTTGCCCCCCCTCCCCGCCCCCCTGGAGTTTTCAGCTTGTGCTGCTATTTTTCGTTTGTGTGATAAACTGCAGTAACGGCGCCGGACAGTAGGTGGCGCTGTGAATAGAGAAAGGCAGGGATAGAAAGCTGCAGCTTATCCCTGCCTCTTTCTCCTGACTGCATCCGCAGGGGAGCAGCAGCCAACAACTGCAGAGACAGCCTACAGATCAGGTAAGTGAGACATTGAGGGGGTAACCTACAGATCAGGTAAGTGAGGCATGGAGGGGGGCGGCAGCCTACAGGAAGGTAATGTAGAAGGAGCAGAAAGGTTCTGCAAGGGGCAGGAGGGGTCAGAAAGGAGTAGGAAGGGTCTGCAAGGGGCAGGAGGTTTCAGCAAGGAGTAGGAAGGGGCAGGAGGTTTCAGCAAGGAGTAGAAAGGGGCAGCAATGAGCAGGAGGGGTTAGCAAGGAGCAGGAGGGGCCAGCAAGGGGTAGGAGGGGTCAGCAAGGAGCAGGAGGGGCCAGCAAGGAGTAGGAAGGGGCAGGAGGTTTCAGCAAGGAGTAGGAAGGGGAAGCAAGGAGCAGGAGGGGTCAGAAAGGAGTAGGAAGGGTCTGCAAGGGGCAGGAGGGGTCATCAAGGAGTAGGAAGGGGCAGGAGGTTTCAGCAAGGAGTAGGAAGGGGCAGCAAGGAGCAGGAAAGGTCAACCAGGAGTAGGAAGGGTCTTCAAGGGGCAGGAGGGGTCAGCAAGGAGTAGGAAGTGTTTGCAAGGGGCAGGAGGGGTCAACCGGGTGTAGGAACGGTCAGCAAGGGGCAGGAAGGGGCAGAAAGGAGTAGGAAGGGTCTGCAAAGGGCAGGAGGGGTCAGCAAGGAGCAGGAAGGGTCAGCAAGAAGCAGGAGGGGTCAGCAAGGAGTAGGAAGGGTCTACATGCAACAGAAAGGGTCAGCAAGGAGCTGGAAGTGGCTGCAAGGGGCAGGAGGTTTCAGCAAGGAGTAGGAAGGGGCAGCAAGGAGCACAAAGGTAAAGTAGGAAAAGGAACAGAATTGAGCAGCAAAGAGCAGGAAGGGTCTGCAAGGAGAAGGAATGGATCAGAAAGAGAAAGGAGCAGAAGGGTGCAAAATAAGCAGGACGTAGCAGAAAGGTAAAGGAGCAGAAGGTGCCAAGGATGAGAGAAGACAGTGTCAGAAGAAAAAAAGACTGTGTCAAATGGAGCAGAAAATTAGATTGGAGCAGGAAGGACAAGTGAAGTGAACCCTCCACTTCATTCTGGACACCACATCATAAGACTTTGATACCTGGGCCTGGCAGGAAACATTGGACCTTCTCATCTCCCCAGGTAAAAACAGATCAGTTTTAATGTGTTTTATTTTTATTTACTGAGTGTCAGGAAACACAGAGGGCCGCTAGGTAGGGGTATCACTGATTGGCTACACTGTTCAGTTGGCACTCTAAGCCAATCAGTAGCTCCCCATTCATAAAAACATAAAAAAATGTATGAATTGGGTACTAGCGATTGGCTTAGAGCGAGAGCTGACCACTTTAGCCAATCTGTAGCACCCATGCCTGACGTCAATCTGCACTTCCTGACACTCCGTTTCAGAAGCCGAATACCACTGAGCGACCTGGAGCTGGAGGAAACCTTTGGGGTTAAACAATTTGAGAACGGTTTCACCCTTTAAAGGAAAGAGAGCGTCCAGGGGCCTCCTTGCATCATAGCATTTTCATTTAGATGAAGTTATTATGATGACCAGAATGTTCCTTTAATTTAACAGACATGTATTCCTGACACTATAGTCGTGAAAATGCTATTCACCCTGGCTTTATGTGATAATGACTATGCTCCTCCCCTTCATAACACTGTCAAAAAGGGGCCAAGCATAAATGTCATTACAATTATGCCCCCCTCCCCCCTGGAAAAATTCCTGCGGATGCCCATGACTATATGTCTGTGTATGACTGTGCCTGTATTTCTCTATATGACTTTGTCCATATGTCTCTGTATGCCTTGTTCTGTATGTCTCTGTATGACTGTGTCTGTATGTCTCTGAATGCCTTGTTCTGTATGACTGTATCCGTATGTCACACAAAGGGTCTGGGGAAGTAAGAAATGCACAAGGGCGGTTGTAAGAGACACACAAGGGTTGTAAGACACATCAAAGGGTAGATACAATACACTTAAGAAAGGGGGGTCACAAGACACCAGTGAAGATGCATTTTTTGGGGGAGGGGGCAAAATTAATCTTTGCCTGTGTAGCCAAAAATCCTTGCACTGGCCCTGTTTGTTATCATTGGTCTGGAGTGTCTGGAGAGTTGCCTTTCAATATGGATTACCTTAGGCCCTGTAGCTGGGTTCAACTTTTGCTCTCTAAAATTAAGCTTGCAAGAAAAGGTCATTTAACGTACTTGATCTGTCTCTGGCCTCCAGAGTCAAACTAATGCTCGGATATAGACATTTAGGGCCATTCAAGTTGACCTATTTGCTATTTTATCACGGTTTCCTTATCCCGTTGTTTAAATTTAGCATATGGTAAGAGGTTAGATTTGTAGCTGTATAGTAGCGGAAAAGCAGAACATTGGGTTTGCATGAAGAGGAAGTGGAGAAAGTGGGAAGACATGAGAGGAAGGACAGCAATGGAGATAATTTGTTCTCTAATGAATATGTTGCAGTAATATGTCCATCTATGGTGATGAGCTGACAATGACTTTTCAAACTCTAAATCAGAGTTTCGGATTTCCCAACACTTCAAATGATGAACAAAATACCCCCAAAAAGCACTTTCTTTCAAAGTATGTCCCGGATTCATTCTATTTTTAGGCAAATTCATGACCGCATAACATTTATTTTTGTGACTGAAAAAAATACCTTAGAACAAGAACATAATATCTGGTTCATAAAAAACTATTTTCAAACATATTTTCTGCAGTTTAAACACATATTTATAAGAAACGGTCACCCGCTGGGATTTAGTATTATTGTGTTAGCCCCATCTATTTAAAGAAACACTATAGGCACCATAACAACTTCATTGATATGAAGTTGTTATGATGTCTGGAGGTTCTGGGTGCTATTTTTTACCATACCAGTTAAAACCCCAAAGTGGTCCAGATGATGCCAGTTCCAGGTTCCTCTTCTTCAACCTTCGTCCCTGGCATCAACGATGAAACCTCAGATTGGGCATTGTTGATAGGCTGAGAGTGTAAGCTGGTGTAGAATTGCAGGCTGATGTTTTTAACTCTCCATAATTGAGCACTTCCATCAGGGCCGGTACAAGAATTTTTGCCGCCCTAGGCAAAAGAAGGATTTGCCGCCCCCCCCGGAACATTGCAATACCCCACCCATAAGAACTAATGCCAGTGCTGCACACAGTGTGTGTTTACATTAAAAAGCCTGCAGGGACAAACTATAGACACCAGAACAACTTTATTAAGCTGCAGTGGTTCTGGGGACTATAGTGTCCATTTAATGTGAGGTAAATTAGAGATTAGTGTCACTAATAATATACTAGATTGCCTACTTACAATCAGATGAGGATGGTGATGGGCTCTGGCTGCAGTCTGGCTCCACTGGTCTGGTGTAGAACAGGATCTCTGGAGGCTGTTTGTAACTGTGGTCACAAAATTCAATGTTCTGGGAGAACGGGAAGCAGCTCCATTTTTTGGGGCCTCTTACATAGCTCAAGGTCTGGGCCCCAGGGCCTGACGGTGAGTATGCCCATAAAGCCCACCCATAAGTCCACCTACATGTTCCACCCATGAACTCACAGGGAGTAGAGTGTGTAGGGGATGTGTTATGTGTTACTGTAGAGGATCTAATGTGTGTGCTTACGGAATGTAGTGTATAGGGATACCAGTTTGTGTAGGTGATGCAGTGTGTTTGTGTGTAGTGGAAGCAGTGTGTGTGTGTGTGTATATAAGGGATGTATTGTGTGTTTCTTGTTGTGTGTAAGGGATGCATTGTGTGAATCTGTGTTTGTATGCCTAAGGGATGCAAAGTGTGTTTCTGTGTATGTAAGGGATGCAGTGTGTGTGTCTGTAAGGGGTGCGTTGAGTGTGTGTAAGAGATGCATTGTGTTTCTGTGTGTGTGTAAGAGAAGCAGTGTGTGTTTGCATGTGTGTGTAAGGGATGCATTGTGTGTTTCTGTGTATATGTGCAAAGGATGCATTGTCTTTATGTGTAAGGGTTGCATTGTGTGTTTCTCTGTGTGTAAGGGAAGCATGTTGTGTTTCTGTGTGTATAGGGATGCATTGTGTGTGTGTGTGTGCGCGCGCGCGTGGTGTGAAAGAGCTCCCTGTCCCCCTGTCCTATAGAGCTCTCCCTTCCATTCCTTAGAGATCTCCCCTACCCCTTAGTGGTCTCTCCTCTCCCTCCCACCTCCCTTAGTGGTCTCCTTTTCTCCCCGACTTTCCATTAGTGGTCTCTCCTCTCCCTCCACCCTCCCCTAGTGGTCTATCCTCCACCCCCCTCCCTTAGCGGTCTCTCCTCACACCCCTTCCCTAGTGGTCTCTCCACCGCCCCCTCCCTCCTTTAGTGGTCTCTCCCTCCCCTACGTTCTCATCTCCCACCCCTCGTGTTCTCCTCTTCTTCTCCCCCGTGTTTTCCTCTTATTCCCCCCCCGTGTTCTCCTCTTCTTCTCCCCCCTGTCATCTTCT